TACTCCACTTCCTTGTTGCCTGCTTAGACTCTTGGCACTCTTAGGTGAGCAGACTTAGTCAGCCTGTGTTGCCCTAACAGGATCTTCCTATCAAGCTTCTGTGGTGACCACTCCTGGGGAGAGATGAAAGGTCAAGTGCTGGAATAGAGCATCCAGTCAGCTTGGACACTTTGCTCAAGGGGTCAGTGGTATCATATATAACAGAACCCCACTCATGAGGATGTGTTTGCTGGAGGAACACACTTCATTTCATATCATGTGGTCACTGTCCTCTTTCAAGTGATGAGCATCAGCTTACCCCCCCCCTCTGCCAAGGTTGTGGTGGCTACTTTCCCTTCCTCAAAGGTGCCATGTGTGCCCCGTGTGAGGTGCAAGACCACACAGGGGATGCCTTGGGTCCAGTTGTCTGTCATGGTTGTGGTCATGACTACCCTTTCCTATGCACAGGAACTCTGTGTGGGGATTGTGATCGACACAGCTCCCTCCCACCTGGTAAGGCTGAACATTCCACATCAGAAACACTCTAGGATCACTGTTCTGATGACTGCCTAGACCCACATGTCAAAGGCTTGGGCATTTCCTGCACCCTGCCTGACACATTGACTTGCACTCACCAGGCCCTCACACACATGTTTGAAAAATGGGCACAGTCACATGCACACTTTATGGCCCATGGTGGTGTGGCCCCAGCAGCACTCCCAGCAGGTGCAGCCACCATTACCAGTGCCCTGGCCACACTTAAGGTTAGGCAATTGGAGGTGAAGGTGGGTGCTGCATATGGAAACTACCAAAGACAGCTATTTACTATTATAGGTGGGTGCTGTGTTGAGCATGCCCACCCATCACAGGATGGGATTTGTCCTCTTGGAAGTTTTTGACATGAGGACTCTTTGGTCTCAAGTTCAGCAAGACCTCATAGCAGTGCTGAACACCAAAGTTATGGATGATCCCTGATTCAAATGTGCCATGGTCATGTGAGAGCAAAGGGGCATCATTATTGGCAAGCTGGGAAAGGCTGACAAAGCCTGACGGTGTAGAGAACAGATGCAGTTTCTCCTGCTATGAAGTGGAGCTGATTTGGTAGCTCCCCACCATACCACATTGGAGCATGTGTGGAATATGTACACACACCCTCAATACCGCAATAGCCATGTGTTTGAGAGGGATCAGAAAAAGCGGGTGTTCATGCTGAAGATGACGGTCTGGCTACCTGGACTGTTTAGGGAAGCCCAACTGGCCAAGAAGCAATTGGTATGTGAACCCATGATAACTGCCAGAGGACAGGCTGAACACCTTGTAGCAAGGGCTGGGGCAAGAGAGTCCAACCAGCAAGAGAGTCCAACCAGCCCTGAAATTGCTGATGTTGATCCATTCCAAGTAGTGGGGTCTGAGAGCCCAGAACACATGCACACAAGGCATGTCCATGCTATGCAAGGTCAGCACTCACCTTCCCCATCCCCATCACCTATGTGGACATCCACCATGCACAAAATGCCTAATGGCACTTGCTTGCCTACCAAAAATCATTCAATCAGCCGGGCAATCAAGGTCAAGCAGGGATAGACAATTTCCTTGCACAGCATGAGTGTGTGGCCCTGTGTGTGCAGCTCCAGCTGAACACTCTCATGGACATGTAAGTGGCAAATATGCAGGAGGGGCAAATGTGATGCTGATGGTGTTATGGAACTAGATCGCACCCACAGCCATTTGGCACTGTGAGCACCACCCCTACACATGTGCAAGATGGAAGCAGAGAGGTCATTGGCCTGGAAGAGCCAGAGCCAGAGCTGCAGCCAGAGGCTACCCTCTTGGGAGAATCAAGCAATATGACTGATGTACTGCTGAGGCATCTGTGCATGGTCATATCTGCTCAGGGGGACTAAACCAATGCTTGCTACAGGCCCCAGTTGCATGCTGTGCGCATGTTCTTGATGTCTGATAGATCCACATATGGACCCACCAAAGTGATCAAGATAGACAACCACCATGGTGAACAACCCCACCTCTGGTAGGGTGTGTCAGGCCGATATTCTTCGGGCCTTAGAGACCGTTGCGCAGCACTATGGACCCTCACTATGCAGACAACACACCCCAGCAATGAGCCTCAGCCCACCACAGATATTTGGCATGGTGACTACTATGATTCCCCAGGTGATGGGACCACTCAGATATTTGGCATGACAACAGCAGGTTTCCTCTGCAATGGGATCAACCCACCCAGATATTTGGCATGCCAACACTTGCCTTAGAGAGGTATCTAGGGACTGGATTAGTATAGAGTGCAGTTTTCAGTAGCTAGTATAAGTAGTTTCCAGAAACTTCTGTATCTAGCTTATTCTGCCCCTTTTCCGTTAGCAATTATATGGATCCAATTATCCCCTTACTGGATAGGCAGACTTGACTTATTGCAACACTTGACTAGATGGACACCAAGCTCCAATTTACCAACCGATTTCTGACAGCTCAGCTTCAGGCTGACTCCAGCATTTCTACTGATTTCCCCCATCTCTCCCCTCTTTCCCTAGTGAGTTCTTGCACACCACCCATCGGACTGATATTTCAGACACCTTGGATCATTTTGGAGCCCAACGCAAGGCAGCTTTTACTGATTAAGAGCTGCTGAGGTGAGAACTCCTCCTCCTCTGATTTCTGATACTGGCTTCCCATACTCCAACACCCACCTCCACTATAAACCAACAGAACAAGCTTAGGGATGAATGGCAAGCCCAATGAACTGTGCTCTGAGAAACACCCACAATTTTGGATACAGAAGTATCATCAACCACTTCCACAAGGAGCAACACCAATATAGTGGATGCAGTCTGATGGCTCCTCATGGCGAGCAAATGCACTATGCCTACTGGCAGGGAGTCTCCCTCGGTCCCCCGCTTTTCTCCCACACCCCTCAGCATCACCCATTATTTTGTGGCATTGGAAAAACTATTCAGCTTGTGCAAACCTGCTGTCACTGGTGGAGGAGACAAGATCGATGGGGCCCATTTTTACACTGATGACAACACCTATGAATTATGGGCACAGATTCACAACAGCATGGATGATGTGGACAAGAACTCATATGAGGATTTCAAGACCAAAATACTGAAGTACTATCCTGGTGCTGTGAACAATGAACACCAGTATGCAACTCAGGACCTCAATGACCTTGTTCACAAGTGGCAACACCACATTAAGACCAAGGGCAAATTTGCTGAATTCTACAGGGACTTCTACTCAATTTCTACATGGCTCATCAAGCACAACTGGATTTCTGTTCTCAACCAACAGAAGTCCCTCCTCTGTGTACTCAAATTCCTGCCCACCAAAAGCTGACTTTAGGACAAGATGGTAAACAGGCTCAAATGGAAGTACAACAGGGCAGTAGATGAACCATGGACAATGGCCAAATTAAAGGAGACAGCAGAATGGGCACTGGGTATCACTATGACAAAGGTTTGGCCACCATCCCCCAATTATTCACAGGACGCATCACCAGCACTGGTACCTGTCAATGTCAAAATGGAGAACAACCCACAGGTCACTGATATTACTGGATGCATGGCTAACTTGGAAGGAATGGTCTCACAGATCTACACACTTATGAGCCAGCAACCTGCAACACAGAACCAACCAGCTGCTCAGCAGAACTCCTACAGACAACCCTCCTGAAATACTTACAGCAACAACACACTGGCTACTGGCACAAATCAGGTTCCTGTCCCAATACTGAACATGCACTTTGCCACTTTGACAGAGTCTCTACTGGTTGCACAGACAAGATTGCGACATGCCCAGGCACCTGGAAATATGTGGATGAAGGACTCCTTGAAAAAGATGGCACTTATCATGTCCTTGCTGGCAGCCAATTTATCCCGTGTCATTGGCCTGGTCAGGACCTTAAAGAAAAGATCGACACCTACTACAAGGACCACCTGGAACATCATCTGAAATTGCAAGCAACCCCTCTCATCACTTTTCACAATGTGATCATCAAAGATATTGGCTTGGACTCTGAATTTGAAGTCACAGTGGATCACTTGGTGCTGCATATCCTTGCCGAACAACAGGAGGACATGGTCGAATGGAACAATGAGGAGATCAAAGTGTTAATGGCTGAATCAGACCAACTCAGGAAGGCATGCAGCATCCATGGGAAAATCAGCCAAGGTCTCCAAAGTCTACACACTGGCAGCCAGAAAGGAAAAATCGGATGCCCACATACATCGTAGTGCTGCACACTTCACTGGCATATGAGTGGATGAACTGGAGAAGTTGGACACCATCCTGGACACACTGAAACCCCATGCCAAACAACCCAAAAATGTGGAAGATGAGATGGTTTTGTGGGCACTAGTGGTTACTCTTGCTGAAACCCCAGTTCAAGTTCCCAGCAAGGTCCTGGCGTTGGCATGTCCTCTGTTTAACAAGGTGCTGAAGGAAGCATATGGCAAGAAACTGATTATTCTGGACATCATTCAGGTGACCAAGGTTCAAGATGGCGAGGCTCCAATCTACCAGATTGAAGGCATTTCAGAAGATGTGGATGGGTTATTGGTTGGCAAAGACATGATACGTCTCCAGCAGATTGACTGTTTAATTGGTGACTTTGACACACCCATTGCCTGCATCCTTGACGGCGGCTCTGGCATTGTCGGCATCAGCAAAAAGTGTTGTGAGCAAATCGGACTCACATACACCCCAGTGAATGGATGGCAAATGGAATCTGCAAATGGTTCAATTGATCAGCTTCTCAGACATGTTCCAAATTTGTGCATCAGCATCTCTGGTCTCAACTTCTATGTCCAGGCTTTCATCCTCCCAAACCTGCCTTTCCACCTGCTCCTCACCTGCCCCTTCCACATCCTTGTCTCTTGCATCACCCAGGATTATATGGATGGAAAACAGAAGATACAGATAATGTGTCTGAATTTCCACCAGACAATCAACTTGTGGACCCAATCACACTGAATGGGAAGAAAATGTGTGGTCCAGGATTTTTAATTTGGGACCATCTTCCCTGGTGAACAGAAGATGGAACGGACACCTCAATTAATTGGTACTTGATCTTGAACAAAGGCTCTCAGATAGACACATCGGATTTGGATACAATACCCAACAATACCCATCCTGTATATGCAGCCCAAAAATACAAACCTGCAGACAGATGCATGAAGCCTGTCTTGACAACAACACCTGAAAGTGTGAAAATACAGAGATGATTTCCCTCTGACCCTCTCGCTATGCTTCCCCCACTCCCTGATACCCCACTGACCTTTATCCCTGGAAATCGGCTCACCTTGGAAAGATTTGAGGAACTCCAGATAAACAAATACAGATTCCTCTGGCCTGAAGAAGAAAAACTCATTGCATGGGTTCTTCATACCCACAAAAATGTGTTTGCTTGAAACAAGCAAGAAATGGGTTTATTTTGCAATGACTACTTTGACCCAGTCTGAATTCCAATGATAGAACATATACCCTGGCAACAAAAGAATATTCGGGTGCCCCCTGCTTTACTACCAAAGGTCTTGAAGGCCTTGCAAGACAAACTGAATGTGGGCATATATGAAACCTCCCAATCCTCATACCAATCCCACTGGTTCTGTGTTCTGAAGAAAGACGGCTCCCTTCATCCTGTTTTGGACCTGCAACCATTGAATGGCATAACAATTTGGGACTCCACCCTCCCTCTGCTTTCTGAACCCCTCGTCAAATCTTATGGCAGACAATCTGTTTATACCCTGTTCAATTTCTTTCAGGGCTTCAAACAACACCTCCTGCACCCAGAAAGTCAGGGTCTCATGACTTTCCAATCCCTCAAGGGTTCCCTTCACAGCACCCAAAATCAGATGGGCAGAACAAACAGCATCCAGATCATGCATGAAAATGTTACCTTCCTCCTCCATGATGAAATCCCCGAATATACCATCCCCTTTGTTGATGATGTCCCCATTCGCGGACCCCCTACTCAATATGAACTCCCCAATGGCAATTTTGAATAGCACCCCTGAAATACAGGTATTTGTCATTTTATGTGGGAACACATGGAAACCATAAATCGGATCCTGACCTGCATCAAACATTCTGGCAGAACATTCAGTGGTCCGAAAATGGTAATAGTGGCACCTGAAGTTGTTATCCTTGGACAATGTTGTACCTATGCAGGCCAACAACCCAAGCCTTCCAAAGTCATGAAAATACAGGACTGGCAGCTGTGCAAATCCCTCACCAAAGTTCAAGCCTTCCTGGGTACTCTTGGCATCCTCCAAATATTCATCAAGGATTTTACTATGAAGGCATGCCCTTGGGAACATCTCAAACACAAGGGCACGATATTTGCATGGGGCCCTGAGCATCAAGCAGCCTTCAACCAGCTAAAAGCAGATGCCTGTTGGGAGGGATGCCTCTGTCCCATCAACTATGAAAGTGACCGCCAGATTATCCTCACAGTGGATTCCTTGAATATTGGTGTTGGATACATCTTATACCAAAATGATGTCAATGGCAAATGGAAACCAGCTCACTTCAGATCCCTGGTGTGGAACGATGTTGAATCCCAATATTCTCAGCCCAAACTTGAACTATATGGCTTATATCACACTCTCCATGCCTTGCAAGTCTTCCTGATTGGCACACCCCAGTTTATTGTGGAAGTGGATGTGTCCTGCATAAAAGGGATGTGTTAGGGCAACACAGGCTGACTAAGTCTGCTCACCTAAGAGTGCCAAGAGTCTA